GAAGGAAATCGTTTTAATCTCAGTATTACCAATATTACTAACTACATAATTTTTATCATGATACTCAACTTTCTGAGCCTTGATTTTTGTCATTCATAAGGTGGAGACAATATTAACCATTTATATATGTTGTTTTGCTGATACATGGTGATATTTGGTTTGTGTTGACTTTCCCACAGGAGTACCAGCTCATCATTGGACTCAGAAACTGGATTATATGGGCTGCCTATTTTTTCACATTCTTCCTTATACATATCATTATTATCTCTTTGATATGCGTGTTATTCTTTGCCAAGGCAAGTATCTAGTTCAATGTTTTCTAATATAAATACAACCAGAGTCCCATACATAATATCAATTTCACAGTACCCACTAGAAATAAAAAGATAAAAGAAGGTGGTGAAATGATTTTGATAATATGAGAAAACTCGAACTCTGCTGTCCAGTAAATTCCAGCCTGATAGGACAGAACTTCCTCTGTGGGTTTTGAGACTGTAGGTCACCCTTTACAGTAGTAGAAACCTTATCTTTCTCCTGTGGAATGGCTGATGGTTTCGAACTGCTGTTGTTGTAGTTAGCAGCCCAACAAGGGGCTTCAAGAAGTTTATGGGAAAATCCATTACCTTTTAAATCCATTTTTTCACAAGCTTAAATTGTTTATATTTCAAACCATTTTATTAGAATCTAATCCAGACATCATATTTTTCCATATTTCTATCACATCAAGCAGTATTGAGCAATTGCTACCAAAATCAGTTTCAAAACATTTTCTTCCTTCTCAAACTCCTTTATATCAGGTCCTTCCACACCATACCCAGAAACCATTATTATAGTTGTTGTCTATATAGGTTCAAGGCTACCCACAATGACAAAATACAACTGGGGTTTACCCCAGTGTGAAAAAAAACAACCCAGAAAATATTAAAAGCCAGATCAAGCCCAAAGGGGAGCTTGAGTGACAAGGTTTAAACCATTGACGTCAGATTTATCATTTTAGTCTACTTTAGTCATCTCTCCAATACTCTCTGACTGATAACCATATTATTCCCATTCCTCAGTTATAGTTAAAGGGAAATCACAGAGGCTTATTCCCTTTGTAGATCCTGAAAATGCAGTTTGGACTTCCATTGTCATCCAGAACCTTCTGCAAGCCAGAATCTCACAATAGAAGCTCTGATACCATTCCTCCATTAGGATTTGGATTATATAATTTACAATCCTTTGATCACAGATGTTGATGTGCTTCTTCCAATTAGGCTTTACTTGACACCTCATTTAGATGGCTGCTTGTTTGAGAACAAGCCTTTAAAAACCCCAGATGCTGTTCTAGCTGCTAGCCAGGCCCCACCTAATTTCTTCATCACACTTTGATATTGCACCCATATTGTTGTTTCCTTTTGTCATGAACTTTTTGAAGCTACCTCATATGTTTAACACAATCCAATATATCTGAAATACTGTTACTTTAGCATGCAACCAATTTTAGAAACAAATGAGCTTTTTACAATTCTCTTCCCAGTGTCTCCAAAATCTGATTTATATATTTTATGTATACAACACGTATCCATTCAAATGCTCAATTTTCATTAGAAATGCTTGATATTTCCTCATTTTTATCATTGAAATTACAAATAAAATGAATTAAAATGCAGTTCCTCAATTTGGGGGCACTGACTGAGTCAGCGACTGCTGTTCTAGTTGGCCGCAGGCTGCTGTTGCTGTCCTTTTAAAGTAAAATAAATAATCACTGTCTATGCTTATTGGTCTTAGGTTGCTGAGAGAATGAAAGATGATTTCTATTGTCTACACTGTGGAAACAAATAAATAAACAAACAGAAACCTTACTAACTCAGCAAGATTTAAACCAATCAATAAGAGAATATTTAAGGAACCCTGGAGGCTTTCTACTCCTGTAGAGCTAGTCTCCCAAACTCACAAGGGCAATTCTATCCTGTCCTGTAGGGTCACCATGAGTCAGATTAACTCAAAGGCAGTGAGTTTGGTTTTTAATTTTGGTGGTATAGTGGGTTACAGGCTGGGTTGCTAATCAAAAGATCAGCAGATCAAATCCACCAGTTACTCAGAGGAAAAAGATGATACAGTCCACTCCAGTAGATTTGCAACCTCAGAAACCCTAGGGAGCAGTTTTGCTCTGTGTACAAGGTTGCTATGAGTCAGCATCAACTCGCTTATGGTGGATTTGGTGTGGTTTGGGTAAGAAATTATTTTGTCAAATACCTATTTAGTTTCAATCTCTGAGCAATGTGGTCATCTCCTTAAGGTTATTAATATTTTCCTTCCTCTCTTGTTTTTATGTGACCCCACTTATTATGTTGCTCACCTGACTTCAAAATTATTTTTATTGTAGATTGTAAATAAGCCAATCTTCTGCTACAGTGACTATAGTTTCATCTTTGTCTTTTTAATGTGCTATACCATTGCTTCGATATTCTTCAGCTTGATGGTTAGCACATTCTTCAATAAAGGTGAGTCTGACTCTTGTAATAGAATCCCTTTTAATTTACCAAAATAGAATAATATGTGAAGATACCTCAGCTTCTTTTACATCTTAACTGAGCAGATGAATAATATATAAAATAATATGGCAGGAGGTATAAAGAACATCAAAATTTGATATGATCGAATGAATGGCAGGTATATATCAAAGTGTATGTACTTATAAATGTATATACATTTGTGTATATACATATTCATTATATATGTATATTTGTAAATATATAATAAAACTTTGGGTAATCTAAGCAATGTTTTCTAATGCAGAAATTATTTTTAAATTAAATTCAATGGATAAAGGTTTCATTTATTCATTCAGCAAGTTGTTTGTGCACATACCATGTGTTAGGATTACATAAAGGCAAAGTTAAAATTGGTTCCTTACTTACATGATCAAATAATCCCAAATTGGCTTAAATGAAAATTTTGCAGAAATAATTCTCTACTAGTCACTAAAAAATAGTTCCCCAGGAGATTAAATATTATTTTCAGGCAATAATAACTATTATTTATCTCATATCTTTCTCTATACCGAACTATCAGAATATCACCCCTAACCATTTATTGTATGGTACAAATGCAGTCTTCCTGTGAAGATTTTAAAGATCACAGATATTTTCAGTGGGCTGCTATGTGCACAGTTCACAGCTTGAAAACCACCAGCAGCTCCCAGGGAGAAAGACGGGGCTTTCTGCTCCCGTAATCAGTTACAGTCTCAGAAACCCACAGGGGTCAGTGTGCGTCAGCAGTGACTCGATAGCACTGAGTTGGGCTTTTGGGGAATCTTTTGTTATAAATAACAGCTGAGTTTTTAAATTCAAAAATGGTATTAATGATGATGTAGAAAAAATGAACAGTACAAGACTGAAAATGTTATCCTTAGGCACGTCTGCCTGAAAGATTGGCCCTGGGAACTTAGAATTGGGGAGGTTTCCCCTATTCATTAAATGATAAGAGTAGGTTAGTGCAAATTATATGGTTTATGGTGTAAATAACATGGTTTATGAAGAATTCCTGCTTTTTCTAAGATGATTGCCTCTTGGTAAATATTAGGCAAAGGATGCACATGCAGCAATATTTCACATGCGTTGTCACAATTCTTTGTGTACTGAAAGAATTAATTTCAGCTTGTGTGATTCCACTGGGAAAGGAGGAAACTTATGCCTGGCTTCCTCTACGCTTTATCCAATGTGTCTTATCACTTTGTTGCTATCACTTTATTTAATGATAATGATTTTATCATAATAAATGTTAGTCATGATTACGACAATATGTTGAAATTTTTGAGTCGCTTAGTGAACCATCAAAGTTTAGAGTGATCTTGAGGACTCTTGACACTTGTGCATAGATTCTGTCACAATTGTTCATGATATGTAATTCCACTTATTAATATTTTGTTGAGGATTTTTGCACCTAAGTTCCTGAGAGACAATGATGCATACAGTGTTTCCTCTCTATAGTTTTCTTTTTTTGTTTAATATCAGGGTATACTTGCATCATAAAATGTGTTGGGCATTGTTAGCTCTTCTATTCTGGAAGAGGTGGTATAAAATTGATATGGATTATTCTTTCAGTTATTTGGTAGAATCCTCCAGTGACACAATCTATGCAGATTGTCTATTTTATCTTCATCGAGGTTTGGTAGTTTGGGGTTTTGTTCATCAGTCCACTTTTTCTAAGTTCTAAGTTATTTATTCGGGTAAACTATATATAGTTTTCTCTTACTGTCTTTTTCAATGGCTGAAGGGCCTGTACCAAAAGTTCCTCTTTCCTTCTTTTTGCACTTTATATCATATATAATCTTTTATGGAAAATATATGTACAAGAATTTACCATGTCAGCATTCTTCACATGAATTCACTGATGTTAATTATATTTATCTTATTTTTCAACCATCACTTTTATCTGTTTTCAAAATATTCTGTGATCTTTAACAGAAGTTCAGCATCCTCTACACAATGATTCTCTGCTGTCCTCTCTGTGTGCTACTAGTAAACACGAATATACTTTAGACATATACACACGCACTACCCTATTGCTACTCAATCAATTCTGACTCTTAGTGACCCTCTAGGTCAAAGTGGAACTGCTCCTTAGGGTTTCCAATACTCTAAATCCTTACAGGGGCAGACAGCCTCATCTTTCTCCAATAGAGCAGTGGGCGGGTTTCAGCTGCTGATGTTGCAGCCCAATGCCATCAGCACTCCTTTTGAGCTTTATACATCTGATGAATAACTATTCTAGATATTTCATATAAATGGGATCATACAATGTGTGGCCTTTTGTGGCTAACTTAATTGACTCAGTATAATTTTTTCAAGATTCATCTATGGTGTAGCATATAACAAGACTTCATTTCTGTTTATGAGTGGGCAATTTTCCATGGTTTGTATTACCTTGAATTATTTATCCATTCTTCTGTTGATGATGGTCATTTAGGCTGTTTATACCTATTGGCCATTGTAAATACTGCTGCAATGGGCATTACTATATAAATATCTGTTTACATTCCGATGTTCAAATATTTTGGATACATCTCCAGAAGTGTGTTATGAATTGAACTGTGTCCCTCCACATTAAGTGTGATAAATCTTAACCTCTGTGCATATGGTTATAATCCTATTTGGAAAAGGGTTGTCTATGGGATATTATGAGACAGGATTAGTGTTAGGATGTGTCTTAAGTCCCTCTCTCTTGTGATATGAAAGAGATTTGAGAAGCAAGGGAGAGGAGCAGGGATGAAAGAAGATGGATGCGAAGATTTATGAAGATTTCCCAGCAACAGAGCCTCAGAAGAGGCAAGGACCTCCAGAGTGTAGAGAGAAAGCCTTATCCCAGAGTCATGTTCCTGGATTTGAACTTCTACCCTCCTAAACCCTCACCAGCAGTTCTACTCTGCCATATCGTGTCATTATGAATCAGAATTGATTCAATGACAGTCAGGGCGGTGTGTGTATGTTTTCAGAGACTAAAGTTTATTAATGCTTGCCAGTAGGATGTAGGGAGGAGGGGACGGGCAGATTCACTGCTGTGTTAGTCTGGGTACTTTAGAGAAACAAATCCACAGAAACTTATGTATAAAAGAGATTTTTATATAAAGGTTAAGTGTGCATCAAGAAAACATCCCAACCCAGTGCTGCCCAAGCCCACAAGTTCAACATTAACCCATTAACCCATATGTCCAACACCAATCCACAAAGTCCTCCTCCATCTCACAAAACACACACTATGACACCAACTGCAGGAGGAAAGCCGAGTCAGTGAATGTGTAAACATCTCAGCGCTGGCAGAGGTCTCCACATGGCTGCTCCAGCACCCAGGGCTGTGTCTGGGTAGGTCCTTGTTAAAGCTACCCATTTGTGGCATTTCCCTTTACAGCAGCCCTAGAGAACTAAAACAGGATTTGGTATCTGAAGTAGAGAGTAGGGATGCCTAAGATTTTTTTTTTTTAATTGCAAAGCCAAAATAAAACGGGAAAAAATGTTGATGAAGATGTGGGGAAAGTGGAACTCTTATCCATTGCTGGTGGAAATGCAAAATGATATCGTCATTGTGGAAAACAGTGTGACGATTCCTCCAAAAACTAAAAATAGAATTAGCATAGGCCCTAAACTCTTGAAAGCACAAATGCAAAAAGAGGCTTGCACATCAGTGTTCACTGTAGCACTCTTCACAGTAGCCAGAAGTTGGAAGTATCCCAATTGCTCACCAACAGAGAGATGAGTGAGTAAACCAAATGTGACTCATGTAGACAATTTCATATTTCTCAGCCAAATAACATCTTGATACATGTCACAATGTGGATAGAGTTGTAAGACATGATACTGAGTGAAATAAGCCAATCGTAAAATGAGAAATATTGTAATAAGTTATAGCAAAGACAAGAAAAGGCACTTGAATACAGACACAAGTTTATTGGGGGTTTAAAGGTTGATAGGGAGGGGGTTAACATTGGTGAAAAAATAGCATTATTAAAGGCAGGCTTGCGATTATTGCAATTGTTCTCAATAAGTTGTACACCAGTAAAAAATTAAATAGGCAAAAGTTGTGTGGTAGATATATTTACAACAACAATCCTTTTTTTATGTAGTTACTCAAGCCAAGAGGTGATTTCTTCATTTTGAGGTTTATGGCTTTACTTGGCTTCGTAATGTTTCCAGTGCTTCTACTCTGTCTCGTGGTGTGTTGCGTAGTGTTCTTGGAGTCTCCAGAGCTTATGGGCAGTCATCCAGTAATTGGTTTCTATTTCCATGAAGTAACAGAGGAAGAAGGGAAGGATCAGGAAGAAGGGGGGGTATGAATGCGTCAGGAACCCCGATGGGTTATGCATTGAGCTGCTAATATCAGGATCAACAATTCGAATCCACCAGATGCTCCATGGGAGAAAAATAAGGCTTTCCAATTGCAGAAAGAATTAGTTTTGAAAAGCCAAATCAGCAGTTCTACTCATAGATTTGCCAAGAGTCAGAATTGACATGATGCCAGTGAATGTTTGAGTTTATTAAATGTGTGGCTCGTGTCTCCATGAAGAACTACTTCCTTGTTCATGAGATCATAAGGAGGAGATGGTGTCTGGCTACCATTACTGAGCATTGTGATCAAAGATTCCATAAAGTATTCTTTGTTGATAAAGTCCATTGGTGAATAAAGCTTTTGAAAATTTTTATGAGGTCCCATTTACTTATATTCTCTTTAGTTACTCATGCTTTTGGTGGCATAGCTAAGAAGTCATTGTTCAAACCTTTGTCCGAAATCATTATCCAAAGGTTTTTTTCTAAAAGTTTTGTAGTTTTACATTTGGGTCTTTCATTTTAAGGCAGTTTCCATATATGGTGTGATTATTTGGTTCATCCTTTGGTCTACTGAAATCAAGATGTCCCAGCCCCAATTATGAAAAGAATTTTCTTTCCCTGTGGATGATTTTTTATTTTACGTTTTATTGTGATGTGGGTAAAAGTTTACAGAGATGCCA